GAGCCTTCCTGCCCTCAGGCACATCAACACTAGGGATGCCCAACACTTTTCATTTAAAACGGTAAAAGAAGTAAAAAAAGAAAAGGTAGAAATATATAACTGTGGCTGCAGTGCTTTTGGGAGGGATACAGTGAAATATTTCCACCTCTTTCTGTGCAGACTGATATTGAAATAACACGGGAGGAGGACTTTGCCCGCATCCTGCAGATGGAGGAAGAGTACGTCCAGCAGATTTGCGAGGATCTGATGAGAGTGAAGCCAGATCTGGTCATCACAGAGAAAGGCATTTCTGGTAATCACACTCGGGATCCCTCTTTGTGTTAAATCCATCTTCATGAGGTTTGTGCTCCCTTAAATGCACCGTTGAGTAATGAAAAACCAAACCAAAACACCCCACAAACCTGATTTTCAACATGACCCTGGTTTGGTTTGGTTTCTTTTCTAACCTTTTAGTGAATATTTTCACGCTGCAGCACTGAGGTTCTTGAGGTTGCTTTGTGGACGTGGACATTTAAAAGAACATTTTGCTTTTCCAGCATTTGAAACGTAACAGAGACCGAGTCTAACAATGAGATGCACTCATTCTACCTTGCAGCTCGGTTTAAGAAACACCATTTAGGTTTTCCTGTTCATACCCCTTCTTACTTTAAAGACACACAGAGTTTGCGATTGCAGATAAAGTTTGGTATTGCTGATCCCTCAATCAAATCACACCAATCTGATTTCAGACTTGGCCCAGCACTACCTGATGAGAGCCAACATCACCGCGATCCGCAGAGTGAGGAAGACGGACAACAACAGGATCGCCAGGTGAAGGCCGTCCCCTCGATGGGCCCCGTTCTTGCTCCCCACAGCATCAAATTTTCCAGCTTTTCTCCCCATTTCTCACGTGGGAGCACCCACCCTGACCCCTGTTTCTGCGCTAGGGCTTGCGGCGCTCGCATCGTGAGTCGCACGGACGAGCTGCGGGAGGAGGACGTGGGGACCGGAGCCAGGCTCTTTGAAGTGAAGAAAATCGGCGATGAGTATTTTGCCTTCATCACCGATTGCAAGGACCCCAAGGCTTGCACCATCGTTCTGCGTGGAGCCAGCAAGGAAATCCTAGCAGTGAGTTACCACATGTTCTGCTTCCCCTCCCGTCCTGGCCACCTTCTTGGTGTCGTTGCTTCCTTTGGAGCAGAGATTGGCAGCAAATGAAACAAGTGTGAAGTTTCCTCTGGGTTTTGGAGTGATAATTCCCATCCGTGAAGGCAAAACTCATACACAGCAGAGGGAGCAGCCTGGCACGCTGCAGGCTGTGCTTTCAGCTGGGGCCGTGCTACAATTCCCTACCAAAAAACCCCCAAATCTCTGCTTTTTCTGCCCGTTGCAGGAGGTCGAGCGCAACCTTCAGGATGCCATGCAGGTGTGTCGCAACGTCCTCCTGGACCCGCAGCTGGCACCGGGCGGGGGAGCCACCGAAATGGCCGTTTCCCCCGCGCTGACGGAGAAGTACAAAAGCAC